GTATCCCCAGCTCCCCACGTCCCAGCCCGATCCAGGTCACGCTCCGTAGCCTCCAGTCCGGACGCAGCCAGACCTCACTTCCACGCAGAGAGGGTGCGGAGCCCACCCTTGCCCATGATGCCTGCCCTGCCAGGACTGCCGTGCAGGCAGAGGGGTGCCCGGTGCCTCTAACCTCACCCGTTCCCATCTGCCAGGGGGAAGAGACCATCCTGCAGTTCAACTCGGGGACCCTGACCCTGACACGCCGGCCTAAGCCACAGCCTGAGCCCCTCAGCTACCCCATCCTGGAGTGGGAAGACATCAAGTTTGAGGACATGATCGGGGAGGGCAACTTTGGGCAGGTCATCAGGGCCATGATCAAAAAGGATGGCCTGAAAATGAATGCAGCCATCAAGATGCTGAAAGGTGAGTGTGGGGGGAGGCGGGAAGGGTGGGCTGGGGGATGCAGCTGCATCCTGGGCCATGCTCGGTTCTGAGGAGGGGCAGGAGCCATCAGTGGAGGAGCAGAGGAAGGGCCCTTGTTGTAGGACTGAGGTGTCCATCCCTTCTTTTCTTCCAGAGTTTGCTTCAGAGAACGACCATCGCGACTTTGCTGGGGAGCTGGAGGTGCTGTGCAAATTGGGCCATCACCCCAACATCATCAACTTGCTGGGTGCCTGCGAGAACAAGGGTGAGGGCTGTCCCCCTCTCCCCTCTCCCCAGCCCCACAGCTCCTGTCTGGCTGTGTATTCCTCTTTGCTGGGGAGAGCCCCATGAGCCCAACCTCCTCCTGCCCCCCAGGCTACCTGTACATCGCCATAGAGTATGCTCCCTATGGAAACCTCCTCGACTTCCTCCGCAAAAGCCGAGTCTTGGAGACAGACCCAGCCTTTGCCAAGGAGCACGGCACCGCCTCCACCCTCACCTCCCAGCAGCTCCTCCAGTTTGCTTCAGATGTGGCCAAGGGGATGCAGTACCTGAGTGAGAAGCAGGTACATCCCCAGCAAGCCTCTCAGAGCATCCTTCCCCTGGGGCCTGGGGACTCTCCATCAGGGCACAAGACCCCTGCGGCCAGCAGGAGGGAGCGTGTGGCTCCTGCTGACTGCTAGCCCCTTTCAGTTCATCCACAGAGACCTGGCAGCCAGGAATATCCTGGTGGGAGAAAACCTGGCCTCCAAGATTGCCGACTTTGGCCTTTCCAGAGGGGAGGAGGTCTATGTGAAGAAGACAATGGTGAGGCAGGAGCAAAGCATCTCCATGGGGCCTGCACCAATGCAGGACCCCTGCAATCAGTGGGAACAACCCACCATGCCGGGACTGGCTGTGTCACAGCTGCCTTCCGTCTGCGGGGCATCCCCCCTGCCCTGACAGTCATTCTCTGTTTCCCCAGGGCCGCTTGCCAGTTCGGTGGATGGCCATCGAGTCCCTGAACTACAGCGTGTACACCACCAAGAGCGACGTGTAAGTCCTGCAGGCAGGGGCACTAGGGCTGGGGCATGGCTGGGGCCACCTCCATCCCTCTCGGGGGTGGTCAGTGTGGCGATGCTTTTGCTCTGAGTGCTGCAATGGCAGGAGGTGATGCTGATGCATCATCCTGGGGAGCTGCCAGCTCAGCCCAAGACCTGGCTGCCTGCTGCACCCTGGGCTTTGCTCCATGCCCATCAGCAGGGCATGGCTGGGGACTCCATCACAGCCTCGTCTCCTGCCCTTTCAGGTGGTCATTCGGTGTCCTGCTCTGGGAGATCGTCAGCTTGGGTAAGGCTCTTCTGTGTCCCCTGCCTCCACGCGGGTCCCTGCAGGTCCTCCTGCAGCCCCAGAGGGGACAGCCCAGGGACCATCCCCGCTGCAGCCAGCTGTGTGTCTCTGGCCGCAGGGGGGACGCCGTACTGTGGGATGACATGTGCCGAGCTCTATGAGAAGCTGCCCCAGGGCTACCGCATGGAGAAGCCACGCAACTGTGACGATGAGGTGTAAGTGGGCAGAGCTCCTGCCCGGTTCCCCTCTGCACTCTGGCTGGGGGATAAGCTGGGGTCTCACACCCCAAACACCCTTCCTGGGCTTTTGTTTCCCACCTGCTTCCCCCCATCTCCCACGAACAGCTTTTCTGCCCCCTCTCCCCCCGTGTACGCTGAGCTGCCGGCTCTCTGCCCCCAGGTACGAGCTGATGCGGCAGTGCTGGCGCGACCGCCCCTACGAGCGCCCACCCTTCGCCCAGATCTCCATGCAGCTCATCCGCATGCTGGAGGCCAGGAAGGTGAGTGATGACGGCTCAGCCGGAGGGATGCCCACCTTGTGTGGGACTTATCCAAATGCTGGAGCATCCCTTGGGCTCGGTTGGGGGGGGACATCCAGCAGCAGCAGAACCTGTGTGACCCCATCATGTGGCAGGGGTAACCCCAGCATCACTTTTTGGGTGTGGGGAGCCCCATCGCCTCCCTCCAGGGCACAGCACCTGAGAGTGTGCCAGCAGGGACGAGAAGTAGATAGGGACACTGCCACGACTGGCTCCTGACTGGCGTTCCCCCACAGGCCTACGTGAACATGGCCCTGTTCGAGAACTTCACCTACGCGGGGATCGATGCCACCGCCGAGGAGGCATGAGGCTGCGCTGGCACCGTGCAGAGGGGCAACGCTGGCCCCAGCCTGCCGGGACAGTGCTGTGGGGACGAGAGGCTGCCTGTCCCCCTCCAGGGCCGAGTGGCCAGACGCCGGTGCCCCTTCCCAAGAGTGCCTTCCCTGCAGCAGGACTGTGCCATCCCCTCCCTGGCTGCCCCCCCAGCATGTACTGGCCATGCTGGCACATCGCTGACTATGGACACGGCCCCACGCTGCTGGGGGACATGCTGGGATGGCCCCCAAGGACAAGCAGCAGCAGAGTGCAGCAGAGCAGGCAGGAGAGGGGCTCTCTCAGGAGCTGGGGTGCTGCCACCTGAGCCCACGGACACAAATACCCAAGCTTTGGGGTGAGAGGGGAAGCAGCAAGCCGGCAGCTGCCTGCCCTGCAGCTCTCAGCGTGCTCTGGACCTGAAGCAGTGCCAGCGGGGCTGTGAGCATCACTGCCAGCGCGGGACAGGGCCACCCCAGAGGTGCAAACGGACAAGGGACAGTGTTGGCTGTGCACAGCCTCCAGCTCTGCAGTAACCTTTTGGAGGTGCCAGCCCTGCCTTACAGACAATAAACGTAGTGCAACAGGCAGCTGGGTCCAGAGGAAGGGAGGTGGGGACCCAGCTCTGCCTCCCTGACGGCATGGGGAACAGAATGGGGGCCTCGATGGTCTGCTGCTGTGGTGGGCACACCTCGGGATCCTGTCCCCATTGGGGTCCTTTGATGATCCCCAGGGATGCCCCAGTGCCCCCAGACAAGCCCCAAGTCTTATCATGCCATGGGGATGGGTTTTCTTAATATCCAACTGGAATCTGCCCCCTGCAATTTAAGACTTTGTCCTGTCCCTAAGGGATATGGAGAACAGACTGTCCTTCCTCCACGCAGCCACCTCTTGCATGCTTGAAAACTGTTCCTGCAGCTTCCCCTCAGTTGGCCGCTCCTCCAGGGATGGCCCCACTACTCTGGCCGCTCCCTGTGGGGCTGTGCAGCTCCGCACCCTTCCCACCCTGGCCAGCCGGCGCCCACCCAGCACTGTGCTGAGCCGTTGGGTAACTTCCCACGTCTTACACGGGGACCGTCATGTTTGACCAGCCTGCTTGAACACGTGCCATTGGGGTGATTTTCTTTCGCATGCCGGTCCCTCAGAGATTGTCTGGGCTTTGCGCTGACCCTCCCATGGGAGCTCCTGCTCCAGGCTGTGGTCCCTCATCCTGCACTGCTGCTGTTTGTTATGCTGACAGTGGGTGGGTTTCATCTCTGTTGGCCTCAGCCTGCTAAGCCCTAGGCGTACCATCCAGCTGCCCATCTAGCCATCTTCCACAGTCCGCGGAAAGCAAGGGCTGCTGCTCTGGAGCCCAGTATCCCAGCTGAAGGCAGGGGCATTTGCATTTGCCCTTCTGGGCAAGAGTCAATTTTCCCCAGAAGGTGTTTCAACTCTGTCAATACCATTTTGATTTCCCATTCTGGCCTCCAGTGCTCTTTGGTGTCAACTGCACCCGTTAGTAAGCAGCCTCTCTGCCCCATCACTCAGGTGTACAGTGAAACAGTGATTGGGACTGGCCTTTGCGGGCAGCCTGACGTGTGCCACCACCTCTGCACCTCCTCTGCTGCTGGCTGGGAATGGTGTCTGAGGCAGCATCATCAGACCTGCTCAAACTGAGGGTTTTCTGCTTTTTGCCTCCCTGATGGCAAAGCCCAGTAGCCAGATGGAGAAGGAAGTAGGACTGATTTGACAAAAATTGACTGTGACAAATTGGTGCTGGCTGTTCCCTTCTCCCCTCAGTGCCCCCACTGCTGTCCCTGGTGGCAGGGCAAAGAGAAGCCCACCCGCCCTTGGCACGGTGGGGACCTGTGTGCAAGTGGTTCCTCATGCCCTGGCTGGTTCTCCCCGGGCTGTGACGTGGTGCTGCGCCCCGGCGGGGTGGGACACCCCTCCTGGCTGCCTGCACCAAGCGGCGGTGGTAGATTGGCACGAGGCTGAGCATGCCTGCAGGACCCCAGCATGGTGGCCCTGCTCCTGCCCCAGCACACTAGCATCTGTGTGGGCCCTGCCAATGCTCCCTGTGCCTGCAGCTCTCCTCCCGGCACAGCCATGGGGATGGAACCTCTGGACCGTGCGGAGCAGACCCAGTGCGCACCAGTGCCAGGCGGCACAGGGTGGGATGAGGCCGGAGCAGCTGCCCCACGTCCCATGGTCCCACGTGCCTGCAGCCCCCAACAGCCTGCCCTGCCCGGCATAGGGGCCTCCCTGGTTCTTCAGGCGTTGTTTTTCTTCCTACCCCAGCCTCCCAGCATGCCGGTAGCCGCAAGGGCAGGACGTGCCGCCTATCTGATAGGAGCAGTCTCCCTTGGCGCTGCGGCTGGTGGCGGAGGGGCTGTGGCACGGTGGTTTCGGGCACGGGGAAGTGCCGGCAATGGGGCGGGGGGAACCTCCAGCCAGGCTTCCTGAGCTGCACAGCCACCACTTCCCAGATAAAGGTATTGCCTGGAGGAGCCGCAGTAGCTCCCAGGGTGCTGGGAGGGGCCCAGCGCAGCGCCCACGGCCCCAGCACATGGGTTGCAGGATGGCAGCCTACCTGCATCAGGGCTGGCTGCTCTCACTGCTCCCTGCTGTCCTGCTCAGCCTCCGCAGCCCTCCAGCAGCCCCTGAGCCGGTGACATCCCAAGGTAGGTCCTTGGGGCCATTTTCTCCCCCAAAGGATGGGCCAGAGAGGAGCTGGCATGCTGGGTGCGGGCAGCGAGCACCCCACGGCAGCCAGAATCTGCAGGGTTGGGGAGGGGGTGTCCCAGGAGGGTGTGCAGGGAGTGTTCAGGGTGGGCGATGGAATGCCCTTCTCACCCACGGGACACCCTGGGGTGCCCAGAGCAAAGCGACGTCCCTGCTCTCTGCAAGCAGGACCTGGCAGACCCCAGGCACCCCTTTGGGATGGCAGCCTGGGGCTCCCAGTCCCGCACGGGTAACAGAGGGGCTCCCTACTCATCCAAAGTTCTTGGAGTTACGACGATGAGGGTCTGAGCAAAATTCAAGCTAATGTCTGACAGCATGGCTCTGCACCACAGGTAATGCTGTGGCACTGCCAGGCTAATCCCAATGCTCCCGCATCAGCCTTGCCGTGATCTTACTGCCCTGCTAAGCATCCTCAGCTCAGCCAGTAGCTGGCCCCAGCCTGGCTTGCTGTGCCTGGCAGAGCCGCTTCCCAGCTTTCTCCTGTTTCAGGCTTCTGTACGCTTTCTTTGAGCCCCTCCTTAGTCCTTTTAACACTTTCTATAACACCATAAAAACCATTAACTGAACAAAATCCTGTTGATCTCCTGCCCGTGTCTCCAGCCCCACCCCAGGTCTCTGGCCTCGGCAGGCTCCAGAGCACATTTTGAGTCACCCCCATAGGGGCAGTGGGAGGAAGGTCAGGGTTGGGCTCATCCTCCCTCTGCCTGCAGCTTTTGTGACATTGCTGTGCTCTGAGCCCACTGCTGGCTTAAGCAAGCGCACTGCCCAAGCGTGGCTGATGTGGGCTGCAAAGCTGTGTGGCTGCTCTTCCTAGGAAATGGCCTGCACCCAGCAAAGATGCTCTGATAGCCCACAGGACCAGTGTGGCCTCCCACAGATGCCATGGGTCCCTGTGCTAACAAGCTGCTGGGACCTGGCCACCCCATCCCCTGTCGCTGGGAATTGGGGATGTCATGGAACCGGCATGAGGCCTAGGGTGGGGGAATGAGGTGCAAAATGGGAAGAGCAGGTTGGGTGGGTTGTGGTCTCTTGGGAGGGAACGTGGGCTGGGGGAGGAAGGCAACACAGGGCTGGAGGCTCAGGGCAAGGGAAGGGACAGGGAGAGCAGAGGGACACTGAAAAGGTGGCAAGTACATTTGGGGACTGTCACTTTTATTCTCTGCCCAGGGTGGGCTCAGCTGGCAGTGCAGGGGGTGCGTAGCAGAGAACGGATGCACTCGGCACATGGAGCAGGGCCAGGCACTGGCAGAGGGCTTGTTGTGGGGTCCTGCAGCTGGGGGCAGCCCCTGGGGAAGGAGGCACATCCCAGGAGGAGGAGGAGGAAGAGGAGGGCCGGAGGCAGGGCAGAGGCAGTGGGGGAGAAGGGAGTGCTGGAGCAATGCTGGGGGGCAGCAAGGCACCCCCCTGTGCTTTACACATCTGCATCTTGGGGCTGTCCACTTTTCCCTGACAACAGCAACAGACACGCATGTGCCAGCAAAGCTACTGGTGCTTGGGATGGAGATCCTGCAGGTCGTGATGCTCCAGTTCATCCCTGCATCAACAGGAAGGGCGGCTTGCTAAGTGGGGCAGAGAAATCCACAGCCCCCCCACCACTCCCCAGGCTGGGGTTTCAGCATCCCGCCCCTGCTCAGGACCACACGCCCCCACACCAGCCCTGAGGCTCTTTGCCTCTCCCCGGGACGCTGCTCCTCCTTATCTTGCTTCCGCGCACCTTCCGGCGTGAGCAGGGCAGGGGTGCTTCCCGCCGATCGCCGGGCCCCGAGCCCCCCTCCGACCGCAGGGCTATTTCGGGATGTTTGTTTGTCCCAAAGGACCCCACGTGCTGAGGAGGGTGGGGAGCAGTGGGGCTGGCCGGCAGGGAGCCCTGCTGCCAGCCAGGACCCCGGTGCGAGCCAGCAGCCAGCATGCGTGCCATGTCCCGCCCCACCGTGCCAAGCTGGTGGAGGGCACCTGTGGGATGTCCACGTCCGCAGCCATGCCCACGCTGCCCCAGGTGCCTGCAGACTGGCCTCAGGGCCGAGCCGGCCAGGGGGCATGGGGTGGGGGTACACAGGTGGGATGGGGACGGGTTTGTGCCCAGGGGCTCCTTCATGCCCACACTCCTCCCAGACGCTGCGCTGTTGGCGGGGGTGCCCGAGGACATCCTCTGCTTCTCCCGCTCCTTTGAGGACCTCACCTGCTTCTGGGATGAAGAGGAGGAGGAGGAGGCGGTGAGCAGGATGTGCCACTTCTACTACTGGTACAGCAGGTAGGAGGTGGTGGAGACAGCCCAACATCCCCCTTGCCTGCACAGAGAGCAGCAGAGGCAGGGTGCTGCAGCTCTCCGTACCATTGCTGTGGCTCCCAGCTGCAAGGAGATAGTGGAGAGCCCATAGGAGCTACACAGCAGCCACCACACACCCTGCGGCAGGGCTGGGAGCTTGGCTGTCCCTCAGTCCCACAGGGATGGTGCCCTGCAGCGGATGGGGGCGCAAGGAAGGAGCTGGTGACACCAAAGTCTCAGTGCCATGCCCCAGGTCCCCTCTCCTCCAGCCCAGCCCTGGGCAGGAGGCATGGGGTGCTGCAGGACCCCACTCTCCATTCCTCAGGGATGCGCCCACGGCATGTGCGGTGTCCACGTTGCGCCGTGGGGCTGGTGGGACGCGGCATGTCTGCGTCTTCCCCAGCCAGGACGTGCGGCTCTTCACCCAGCTCCACCTCTGCGTCCTGGACGCCATCACCAACCAGACCAAGTACTGGCGGGAGCTCAGCGTGGATGCAGTGGGTGAGTCCCTCCCACTGGGCAATACCCCTGTGACACCAGGACAGTCCCCAGACCTGGGTCCCCTGTCCTGCTTGCTGCAGGGGCTGGCAGCACCCTGCACACCAGGCACGGATGCAGTCCTGAGGGACCGCCAGGTGCCCCGCAGCAGGACCAGGGAGTGCCCAGATGGGGGCTGCTGCAGGAGGGCAAACGCCCCGGCATGTTCCCCGCAGGTCTCATCGCCCCCCCAGCAAACCTCACGGCCCGCTGGGCTGGGGCTGCAGGGCAGCTCTGCGTGTCATGGCAGCCACCACTTGCCGACTACGAGAACTTCTTCCTCTACGAGGTGCAGTGCTGCCCTGCCAGCTCCCCAGAGATGCCCTGCAGCACCGTGTTGGACCCCGGTGGGCAGCACCCTGGGGACCCTTCCAGCCAGCCAGCCATCAGCACCCACACCCCCATGGCTGGGGCAGCCACAGCCTCCCTGGGAGCGGGGCAGGTACATAGAGGGGCCAGGGATGGGCAGGGGGATTTGGGGGCTGCAGCTGCTCCCCAGCCTGGCCCCTCTCCTGCAGAGACTGGTCCAGGCCAACACCTGGGTGGTCCTTCGGGACCTGTGGCCAGGGGTGAGGTACCACATCCAGGTACGCAGCAAGCCTGACGGCACTTCCATGGACGGCGTCTGGGGGCCCTGGTCGCGGGCAGTGGCTGCAGAGACACCCCGCTCCTCTGGTGAGCGGCCATCCCCACCACTGGGGTGCTGGGAGGCACCCACACCTGGGGCTGCGAGGGGTGGGGGTCCTGGGGTAGGTCAGGTGCAGCACTCAGGTTTTGGGGGCCAAGGCGAAGCAGCTCCCTCCCTGCCCTGGCTCTTGCCTGCCCAGGAGACATCGGGCTGAGCTGCAGCACCCCTGACCTGCAGCACGTGCGCTGTGAGTGGAGCTGGGACCCTGGAGAGCCCCACAGCTCCCACCAGCTCTTCTACCGTCCGCCTCCAAGCGGGGCCAGCACAAGGTAAGGGGCATGGCAGGGATGTGGTGCTCAGGCAGAGAGGCGGCACATCCCAGGGACCATGGGCTCTGCTCAGTGTCCCACATCCCACCCTGTGCCCTGCCCTGCCCTACCACCATCGACCTCGCACCTCCCCACCACCACTCTGGGCCACACTGCACCTCCAACTACAGGCAGCGTTGGCTTTCCTGGGCAAGTGCAGGAGGAGTGAGGCAGCACTGGCTGCGGGGACAGGGCGGCCCCAGAGCAGGGCTGGCAGCAGGCAAGGGGAGCAGGGCGGCCACAGTGGGGCTGACTGGTTCCCCGCTCCTCGCGCAGGGAAGACGCGTGGCAGTGGTGCGAGGAGGTGAGCGTGGGGGTGCAAGGCACCCACGCCTGCACCTTCCAGCCCAGGGCTGGCAGCGCTATCTCCGTCCTGGTGAATGTCACCCGGCCCCACGCGCTGCCCACGCTCAGCTACTTTAAGGAGCCCTTCTGGCTGCACCAGGCCGGTGAGTCCCAGCGCCACTGTGGCCCTTGCCCTTGCCCATGCCTGCCTGGCGGGGGATGCAGCGTCCTATGTCCCATTCCATGCAACACGTCCCCGTCACCAACAGTGCTCACAGACGCCCCGCAGCTTGTGCAGGCAACGGTGTCACAGGGCCAGCTGAGCCTGCAGTGGCTGCCACCCCTGGAGGTGCTGGCAGAGCAGCTGGACTACCAGGTCCGCTATGCCATGGAGGAGAGCCATGACTGGAAGGTAAGGCACAGCCAGGGCTCCTCCAAGCAGCCCTGCCCACCTCTGCTGCCAGCACATGGCCCACATGGGGTCACGCAGGAGGGACCCGCACCCCACTGCTTGGCCACCACGCAGCAGCCGTCATCTCCAGCTCAGCTTGGCTCTGCCCCGCAGGTCCTACAGGTCCCGCGGGCAGCCAGGAAAGAAGTCCTGGACCTACGGCCAGGCGCCCGCTACCATGCCCAGGTGCGGGCCCAGCCCAGCGGGCCGTGGTACCAGGGCAGCTGGAGCGCCTGGTCCAAACCTGTCGTGGTCGACGCCACGGCCAGTGCGGGTAAGGGACAGGGCAGGAGTGGAGGCTGCAGCCAGAGGAGCCACATGGCCGAGGGCAGGAGACCGGGAGTGCTGGAAATGGGATGGGGAGGACCGAGCGACAGGGCCGCGGAGGGCTCAGTGGTGGGGGCTCAGGGCAGGGCTACAGTCCCAGCGTTCCTCCTCCGACGCAGGCTGGATCATCCCGAGCGTTACGGTGGTGCCGCTGGTCTTCACAGGAGTGCTCCTGGGGCTGCGGTGCACCTTCCCTTCCCTCTACAGGTAAGGGCTGTGCCTGGGACAGGCGGGGGGCGGGGGTCCAGCACCAGGCCTGGGCACCCTGCCCCGGGGGCGTCAGGGCACCCCCGACCGGGGTTTGCCTTCGACACCCCCTTCCCCGCACCCAGCAACGTGAAGCAGAAGCTCTGGCCCCCCGTCCCCGACCTGCACCGCACGCTGGGCACCTTCCTCCACGAAAGCAGCAAGCACGGCCAGGTGAGGGGGCCGGGGCAGGGCCCGCCGCGGCTGAGCCCCCCCGGGGGCAGCTCGAAGGGCGGCCCCCACCGCGCCCCCTCTGTGTGTCCCCAGGCCAACACCTTCTACAAGCAGCCGCCGGAGGAGGCCGTCCTGCCCTGCCTGCTGGAGGTGCTGCCCGGCCCGCGGGGGGAGCCGGGCGCGCCGCCGCCGCCTCCGCCGGAGCACGCCGCCGGCCGCCTGCCCGGCACCGACATCGCCAACCAGTCCTACCTGCTCATGAGCGGCTGGGAGCCGCGCGGGCCGCCCTGAGCCGCGCTCCCGGCCCCGGCATAAAATGAGACGAGCAAACACCCGGCCTCCTCTCTCCTTCGCGGCGCCCCGAACCCGGCCCCGGCCCCGAACACGGATCCCTGGGCCCGCGGAGCGGCGCGGCCCCCGCGTG